TCTTGCGCAAATAACACTGATTTAAAATTTCAGTAGGGCATAAATTACAACAAAATATACCTTAAAAATTACTCAACCACAATCTTACCGCAATAACTACGAATGGGATACCATTGCGTAGAGCCTGGTAAACACCCAGTGCATGCTCTGGCCTTCCTGCCACAAGAATTCCACAAATCGGGACATTGTCTATGGAAGAAGTATAAGAGCAAAATTAGGAACGTGGGAACTTCACGTCAACCTCAATATAAAATATTTTATACTTACGCGAGAGCTCAAATGACTCCACCTCTATATTGAGATTGGCAAGCCAGGTTTCAAACCTTGCACGGAAATCCTGAATGCAAGTGGTGTCATTTTTACCACCAGAATCGACGAAGAGGTACCGTGTGTGAAATGGTGCTATCTGTGGGTAAATTGTCACTATCTTCTCCCTCTCTGGGAACCTGACTCGATAGCATCCCTGCAAAGGGCAAGTAAGAATCACTTATAAGATGCGAAGAAAAGCTATGATCGTCTAGACCAATTGACTCATCTCATTATTCACATTACTCACAGAGACACGTTAATTAATGATCAGCAAGTAAGCCGGTTATTACCGACTGACCAAAATTGTAATTGTGGCCAGATGGTTCGAGCGCAAATACCTTGAAGCACCATGACTTTATTCTGTCAAATTGATCAACATGTCAAAAAGCCAGTTTATCCCATGTCTAGACTCTGAACTACTGAATACCACAAGACCAATTCCCAAGAGTTAACTAATTCTTCTACTTTCATTTACTTTAGACTTACATTGCAAACACAAAGTATAGAACGTAAAACCGATAATAAATAAGTTACTCACTAATCATGAACAGGCAAGGTGAGTCTATACACACAAAACGACAAGCAAGTGAATGCCAAGAGAGAATATAAATGAAGATAAACTCCAAGAAAGACCAGCTATTCATTTTGTCAGCCATGCACTCATGCATGCAGGTGACATCAAATGCTTCTGTGACCTACCGAATAATTGGAAGAGTGAAGCTCTGATTGAAGCGTTAGGTGCCTCCAAGGAGCTATACCAATGACTTGAAGCCTTGATAGTCCATAGGCCTCTGCATAACCATGCATTCCGTCTGACATCACTTCAGCAATACTATCGAAAATTCCGTCTGTTATCACCCAACTTACTACAACAAAAAGTGTTGAAATTCGACTGACAACTAGTGATCATTATAATGTTTAATCGTACGCGTCTTATGAACCACAGTTACGACCATTTTGAGGAATCGCTTTTGAAGTGACTTCGAAGGAGGAAATGATCCATAGAGAGTGAGAGCAAGATCAGGCTGCTTCAACTTCCAAACGTCGAAGAAAAGGAAAGAGAGCTTTTCCGTTCTAGTGTCATCAGCTATTCGGACGAACTAAAACCAATGACATGAGCAGGTAAGAAAATGACAACTAATATAGACCAACGTTATTGACTAAACTAACCTCAGCCATGACATTTGAAGAGGGTGTTTCAAACTGTCCAAAAGTGTTAGTTGGACGTTTGATATAGTCCTTGGTTCGGCTTGCTATAAGTTCATTGAGATCCTCAATTTCACAGAACTTCTCATGGAGAGCACAATCACCTGAACACTCACAGTATTCGCGTCTGTTAAGACTGTAGGCAAGTAACTGATTAAAAATTCTTTTCAACCTAACGGAACTAGTCTTAGATCCATCCACCCATCTATCAATATATGCACTCCTTATATAAGCATTTCATTTACACCACTTAATAGCATAACAATCTTCTATCGATTGGGGTATGCGATAGACTTACCTCCACGTGGTGCACCCTGGGCAACGTATACTCATATGACAAAAAAAGTCTGTTAACTGGCAATTGACTTCTGGCTTCAAACTAAAATGGACCAACTGTATACCTTATCCCACCACTTCCACAATACTCATCCTACCTTTTCTCTGCCTTTGTGTCTGTCTCTTTTACATCTGTAAATCACTCTTCTGTTCCCCACCCCACGACTTTCTGTTACTTTGATGTTCCTTCCCCCTGTGAAGCCCGAAGTCAGCTAAAGGGGTAATGATAACTATCAAGCGCCTGCCATTTGATATAAACAAATAATAGAGAAGAAAGAAGGNCCTTATCCCACCACTTCCACAATACTCATCCTACCTTTTCTCTGCCTTTGTGTCTGTCTCTTTTACATCTGTAAATCACTCTTCTGTTCCCCACCCCACGACTTTCTGTTACTTTGATGTTCCTTCCCCCTGTGAAGCCCGAAGTCAGCTAAAGGGGTAATGATAACTATCAAGCGCCTGCCATTTGATATAAACAAATAATAGAGAAGAAAGAAGGTACAAAAGAATTATACATTCAGCTGACATTGTGACAAATTACTGTTACTGACTATTCATCGTTGTTAGTCCATGTAACCGAGTTTTGAAGTCGTGTATTTCCATTGCTCATTCATGGCAAGGATACTACCATAGAAAAAACCAATGAGTTCACATATCTCGGAATGACTTTTGACGCAAAGCTAACGTGGAAAAGTCACATTGCTAAAATAGCAGAACGAGTCTCCAATAGACTGAATGCACTGAAGCGTCTTGCTGGTAGCGTATGGGGCAATGCACTCTCAACTCTCAACATCACTTACAAGATGTTTATTCAGTCAATAATGTTGTATTGCTGTGAGCCACTCATTACAGCCACAGAGGTGACTCTCAAACCACTCGGGAAGGCACACAACCAAGCATTACGACTAATTACTAGAGGGATAAAATTGACACACTTTGATGCAATGCTCCTAGTTACAGGAAGCACCACAATAGGTTCCCTTATCAAAGAAAAGGACTTGATCCTGTATGAGATGCTACTGCGCATTCCCATATATAAATTCTTCAGCACCCATAAGAATAGACCAAGACATCTGAAAACGCAATCTGGTCTAATACAGAAAGCCATAGAACTGAAGAAAGCATTACAAATCGATGAAAAACCAAAAAGCCTCTCTCTCCCCATGAACATATTAGCAGACACTGATGTAGTGAGTTGCGCCCAACTGCTTGACTTCTTCAGGAAATCAAACACCCCTCCAGAGCAAATGCGCTCACTGGCCCTTGAGACAATCAATGTCAACTATCCTGGAGATCAATGACTCCAAGTCTTCACTGATGGGTCATACATAGAAAATCAAGCAAACATTGGTGCAGGTGTCTTTTCTGAACTCTTCTCTTTCTACTCAGCNGTGTCCAACCCTAAAGACAACGACGGAACCCCAGAGAGGCTGGGAAGCAAGAAGACAGCTAATGAACTGCTATTAATTAACAGCTTTATATGTACCCTCCACCCATGGGGGAAGCTGAAGTCAAAGTTTAAGGGCTAATGATAAATATCATAAAGCCTGCAATTTGAAATAATAATAATAATAATAATAAATTGTCATTCATCTCCCACCAGGAAAATAGACTCCTCAACATTCTAAAATCGATCAATAAATTCTCAGACTTGTGAGTTTAACTTCACTGGACCATTTGGGCTTCCACAAATTCACTCATTTCTCGACGTTGGTTACTCCTTGTCGAAATCATTTAAGAAAAAGACACTTGGACATTCAAGTTTCCACTCTTCCGAATTCAATTTTGCGAGGAAGCCAAATTGGATATCTTCGGCGCCCTCGAGAGAAGCCCCAAGCTTCTTCCCCATTGCACTAAATTATCGATTATTGGATTTTTAAGCTTGCAATTAAACATGCAAAATTGCCAATGAAGTTAACATCGATACCATTCTTGGCCACACGGAAGGGCAGTAATTTACCCAGTATTCAAATTCTACAGAACGCCAATTATTTCTTTCAAGCACCAGACTTATCCCTTCCATTATTTCTTCTTCATGAGGGCTCAGTTTGTGGCCTTATAAGGGGGCAACCGAACATCTCGAAAAAGTGAAGTATAATAAACCAACTTCCTAATTTCTTGTGTGCGGTGTGAGTGTGTGTGTGTGCTCGTTAACTTACCAGTACATTGGCCTTATTTTAGTGCACAGGTAGGCCTCAAAGTTCAGGGGTAACTTCCAGTGAGCATCGCGTACTATCGCATCCTGTGAGAATGAAAAGTAGGCGTAATCATTGTTCAATTAATTAAAGCAACAAAGATATGATTTTGTACGTTCTCTATGAAGTTCGGGTAAACAAATTAGTATAAACACGAAGTCGGAGGAAAGTTATATAGACTGGTTCATCACATTGGCTGGTTTTGTTAAAAGATTGATCATGAAGACCTCATTCGTCTAGTCATTAAGGGCGGTCATCTGATGTCATTCAACTTGACTGAAATTCGTGACTCGTATATGACCTTTCAGTGGTCTTTACTCAAGAATTGCAGCTAATCATTTCGAGAATTGCATTGAGAGAGCTTAAGAACTGCATACTGTGAACCAAAGTGCCATTTTAATCTTTCCATTTCAATTCCGGATGTCATTATGTCGATTCCAAGTGATTGGAATTCTGTCTTAGTTAAGTCTTTAAACATTAAGTTCAAATAATCTTCTTTAGTTTATGTTTCTTGTCTGAAGTTTTTGAGGACAAATATTAACAGATAAGAGCATCGCAAACGAACTTACCTGTAAGTCTTTTTTATTCTCATTTCCCAGACCATTATCAATTTTCTCATAATTTAATGATTCGATGAGTTTAATTATGTACCCTCTGACAGTTTCGTGGTCATGATATTGACAAAACATCAGAGGCTTTCTATTTCCCTAAAAATGGAAAAGAGTACATTTAAACAAATTTCGAAGTGGACAACCTTTGCCATTTGATCTAAATTGCTACCTAATCATGGCCCCAGATGTCTATCTTAAAGGGTTGAAAATAACTTCAAGTTCTTGTGTGTCCATGCCAGACCTTTTTCGCCTACCCCAATGTCCTCTACTTTTTGTGACTCTGTTTTCTCCAGGTTCCCATTTACTTTTTCCATTTTCATCATCAGACGTTTCGCTGTAAAGACTCAAGTGAGTGCCTGTGTGTGTGTGTGTGTCATTCATGATTTGAGAGCATAATGACAACCAGTTAGGCTTGTTTGATCTAGTATTTTCCGCTAATCCATTACCAAATCGTCATTACATAATCTTTTATTCATCCCACGTGAAAATATACTCTCGTGGTTAATTTATAATACGAAGTTCGAAACCTAATTCCATTAATGCACTAACTTCTACTTTAATATTCCAGGTTTTTGAAAGACTTAAACCGTCTGCACTGCATATATCTAGTGGAGTTGCCCAAAGTTCACCAGAATTGGATGAAACATGATTGCTCGTTGTGTCTTTTACACAGGATTGTATCAACATTGATAATGACAGAGACATTGAATTGCAAGTAACTTTCCCCGACTTACAAAATCCACTGCATCCAGTTGACCAGTATCTATGGCTAGTAGCATTATCACTGTCGGAAGATTAGTTTGAACAGCATAGTGAAGGGGTAGGCGTCCGAGCTACAATAAGAGAACAAAGTGTGGTGTCAGAAGTTGTCAAATTCGTTCGAAATCGGGTTCATTTTTAGTAGTAAGCTGGGAATTAAAAAATTTGAAGTATCTATTTCTCATCAAGGGCGCTTAATCGGATGGGTGGTTATTTGGTTCCCTTTTCTCATCACAACACTAACATTGACGATGGAACTCTGAAGTAAGTTGATTCTGGGTCTCAATGCCTTCGAATATCGCCTTACATAGACTCTCAATAGCAATTTGTATTGATTTTTTTACGAAAAATGGAGTGCGTCTTTGTCACTTCACTTTGATGTTTCAATATTGTAGAAATGACGTCTGTCTTTTACTGAATTTGGCATGAATGCAGTATCATACTGGCAACTACCTATAAACAGTGGAAGAAGCATCTTTACTCAATTATACCTCTGTTTATAATTGACCAGATAGACAAACTTGGCAAATTTGAATTCAAGGAGAATTCGTCATCCCCCTCCCACCCCCCCAAAGGCAGATTGCCAAGTGATCAGAAACTGGGTGAATAAATATCATATGTACGGTATTATTACTTCGTGTTGAATGAGGAGCCCTCTTAAACACTACTCAATAAAAGAAACATTAATTATCGAAGGTGCACATCGTCGGATGAGTATGTTGAGCAATCTCAATGCTGCTTGCTCTTGGTGGTGTCCCGAGTTAATATCCACACTGGGAATGAATTTAATCTCTCAACATTATCAACTGAGCATCTCAATTTAGAGCATGAAATACCCTTTGGCCAAGTATTACAGTACAGTTCCATTTCAAACACCTTTCTAGGAGAATGGAACACGATCAAGTATTGTAGTTAGTAAGTGAGTAAGCTCATTTGAATTTCGATATCGTACCTGGTCTTGAGTAAGGTGTGGAAATTCTGCGTCAAGTAGCTTTCGAAGTCCCACATAATCTCCCAGAGCTGCACAGATGTGAACTGGTGTCACACTTTCCTATTGAAGGAAAACACTTCACGCAAAATATATACACACACATATATAAATATAAATATATATTTATATTTATACAACTAACGCAACGGCTAAAAATTGTGAGTTTACAATAAAACCTGTGATGGGTTAGGAGGATTTACCTCAGTCATTGAAAAGGGAGTCTTTCTTCGCAGAAGAATATCGAGGATTGAATGAGCTGACAGAAGACAGACCAAGTGGAGAAGTCCAATACAATTCAAACTTTTCCAAAACGAATCTGCCAGATAGCTACGAGCCTGAAAGAAACATTTTTGAACTAATTGTTATCAGAGTCGATGGGATTGAAATGATACTAAGAGAGAAGTCAAGTTATCGAAGAGTCGACATCCAGTTGAATTTCAGTTTCGGATTATTCAAGATGCACCTATTACTCAGTCATCTGTTACTCATTTAAAAATTTCACCTATTGATTACTATTAATGAGGGTTGAGAAGGCAAAGGATACTAAACATCAAACAATACCTCAAACTATTAGAACTGACAGAGAAACTTATATTGGGCTAGCAGGGCTCCTCTAGATAAAATGCCACTTCAAGTTTCTTTTTTGGGAGAAATGATTCAAAATATTGAAGGATCATGTTTTGTCATATTGGTGGAAGTTAGTGTTGGTTAAAAATGGTAACCAGAATACGCCGTGTGTAGACAATCGGTACGGGCAGCTGTGAGATCGTCCCAATATGGAGAAAAGAAGCCTTCCTCTACCTCCCTTTCTTCCTGCATAAACCCAAACTAATTCAACATAAGCGAAATATTCCTTTTCACCTGTGGTACTCCTATTCACACAACTTCGAGGTAATTTAACGATTAGAGCAACGACAGGTTGTGCCTGCATGGTTCATAATTACTTCCGAATCATAGAAATTTTGTCTACTTGGCAAACAATGAAAATCCAATGAATGAGAGTAACTGCTCCAGTCTTGACGCCTTTGAATTACTGAGGTGCATACTCCACAACTTTAACAGAGGCACAAAATCTTATTTATAAATCTTATATATCAATAAACTAGGGAATTCACCTCGGAATACTTACATTCAGACAAATTTCTAATTAAATTAGTAAATGTCACAAGTTTTACTTACCGGCAAGTCAGTTAGTTTCACATTCATTGAAATTTCCTCAATAAGCTTGTAATCAAATGTCGAAAATTTATCTACATCATCTTCTCGAATCGTCTCAATTAATTTCATCACATCAGCATCACTTATTGCTGCTGTAAATTCAAAGAAAGCATCATCACCAGTCTCAAGATGTTTGACTTCCCCATCAGCATCAATGACTGCCCCCAAAATGGGGATTGTCTGTTCATTCGGTTGGCTTGAATGTCGGCTGAACCGCCGTAAGAAGCTTAAGGTACTCCTTCGTCTGCCACCGGTCACAGACGAGGCGCCCATAGATGGTAACGACATGATGCTGGCTTTGGTGTTATTGGAAAGATGTTGAATAGCTCAGAGGAAATGAACACAGTTAAGTCACCTTTGTGAAATGACTTCAATGGATCAAGGTTCGCGTAATGAACCTTGTAGCGTGAATTGCTTTTACTAAGAACCAATGCGATTTTGAGGTCAACCAGAAGGTTCATTAGAGATCATTGTACTTAAAACTTCCTGTGTTCAGAATATGTCTCTGTGATGTGACTTCAAAACAGAATTTAAAGGTGTACCAGTCTTAATGACGTCAACAAAGACTCCGATCGTGGGGATTAACAATGCAGATCCAAGTTAGTTGGTGAGAATGCAGATAAAGTAACTTGAAGGTGAGTAATTTAAATTTATGAAAGTAATATGGAATTTCAATGTGCTGCTTTCCAACTCCCATTTTACTAACCAAATTTATAGTTTCCCAAAATTTATTTGCATTCACTATAAATCCAAAATTGCAGAAAGTTAAGTTCTTTGTAAACAAGAAACTGAGGAGATGAACTTGTATTTAAATGTCTTCTTCGTCATCTATAATAAATTCCTTCTTCCACCTCGTGGATGGCTCTCACGATGGCGAACATATCTGACCACAGTCAGCTGCAACAGGATGGGGTAGCAATTTATTATGTAGTCCTATCAATTGAGATAACCTGATCGTCATAGGCTAGAACTGATTATCTTCCTCTCATTCCTTTGTACGTTGCCGTAACGTTTTTCACTATGTCTAAGATTTTTCAAAAATTATGATTCTGCTTTTTTTAATTGCAACATTCTCCGAATTCTTGGTTAGTATACATTTTGCAGCCAGTGGAAATACGGTCATTTGCTTAAAATTATTTTGATGTTGATAACTTTTGTGATGATTCAACAAACAAATAGAGTTTGAGCTTTTAATTTGAAACATTCATATGTACGAACTATGAAGTAGGAAATGTAGTCAAATTGCGATTGGGCACTATGATAGAAATAATTAAGTAATGAAATACCCCATTTATGGAATATATATTTTTAAATGTCCGGCTTGTTTATTTATTTATAAATTTCAGTTATATCACAGTCGTTTGATACATGTATCGTATGCCTCACAAATAATCATTTGCTAAAATCCAAACAATACTTTATGACAAAATTTCCAAAGTTAAGTTACTTAACAAACCTCCAGAATGCTGAGGAATATTGGAATAAAAAGAGTTTATCAAATCTTTTGGCCAATGACACAAAGCTGGTTAATGAAATACATACTGTGTTGATTACTAGTTGGCAGAGAAGTCTGCACTAATGACGTACCATTTATTCAACACTGATAGCGATTAATTTGCCACAAATGAGTGAAAGAAGTTGGTAATTTCAGAGCATCAAATTAAAACTAAACTTAGAGGCATAAATGGGTAATATTATGAATTTCCCAAAGTAAATAGAAATCATGTGCAATGGATATTTATCACAGTTCACAATTGCCAACAGATCAAGTAAATAAATAAAATGTAAAAAGAACAAGTCAAGAGCTCACAAATAACCACAACCAAAGTAATTAACATGGATAAATTTATTTTCATTTATCAAAATTCTCAAATTATGTATTTAATGAGCAATTATTATTTACCAACGAATTAGTCTTGTAGCAATCTAACTTGCCTTTTAAAATAGGTTAAGTTAGGAATCAATAAATAAAAGCACACAATTCTCAAATTTGAAATAAAATATATTACGAATATATGTAATATGTATAAAATTATAATTGGATATTTGTATTTTTGAGAAAAGTAAAGGTCATTTGAAAATTGTTTTAATTTATTGAAAAATTGTTGGCAATGTTGATTCTAGTGGCTTCCATTAATTTTACAGCAATTTGAGCAAATATTTTCTAATGAACAGTTACAATGTGTTTTCCATACGACGAAATTAGTTGGAAATACGAACATATGAACCCTCCTAAAGGTGAAAATGGCAATGGTAATCACAATCCACTTCACCATATGTTACAAATGGCGCGAAAGCCAGCTGTTCTAGTTTCTCCTCGTCGTCATCTTTCCGACTTGCTTTATGTAGAACATTACGAAAATGGTGGAGGCTATGTCCTTCATGCCTATGCTCATGAGTTAGCACATCTTACAAAAGATGAAGTTTCAATTCTCACAAAAAAATTTTTCAGATCACTATTTACTGAACGTCAGAAGAAAGGTATCTCCGTACCATTCTCATACTTTTGCATTGGAATTGTTCATGGCGCTGCTAAACACATGCCCGAATTAGTTAATCATATTGGTAAACATCATTCCAATCTCATCGTCTCAACTAGTCCACTTGAAACCAAAAATGCCTCCTTTACGATCACTGCCGAAGAATTCTCTGAGAATGCTTTCCGCACTTATATCAATGGTTGTTACCGTTACGGTCCAATGCATGCAATCAGTTTGGTGGGAACTAAGGGTGAAGAAAGAGGGAAATTTTGTGATGATATTCTGGAGATGATTGCTAGAGATCCTTTCCTTGGTTTGGTTCTCCCGTGGGGAAAGTTGTCATCTCTTTGTTCGATGGACCCAAAGCAAAGTAATGATGGACCCATCCTTTGGGTCAGACCTGGTGAACAGGCTCTACCTCTTCATGGAACCTCTAAGGTTCGGAGCAGGCAAGTCAACATTTTTAAATATTAAAATTGACTGATATTTCTTTGTATTTTATAGTAATTTTATTCTTGCTTATGAATTCTTCATACTAAATTAGTAATCTATAAATTTCATCCTAACCTGCTTAACTAAGTCTATATTTTCAATTTATTTCTTTTATTTATTTAAAATTGATTTAGTAGTAAAAATTCATGATTAAGCAATATATATATATATATATATATATATATATAAAGTCGCCAAAGCTATAAGATTTTATAATCTTTATTCGTATCTCATTGGGTTTCTGATTGCAGGTGGTTGATTACATTATTTCTTATAAATTGGTACGCTCTAAGATGTGTATTTGCAACCAGAAGTGTGCACTGAAACATACTGTTAAATTGTACACATCTGGGAAGGCCTCTATTTGGATATCTATGGTTCATTCTAAATCTTATTTACAAGAATTCTGGACGTAGTTTCCCTGTGTTGCCTCAACTTTGAATATTGCAATTCTTCCCTATATCACTGTCGAATTCTTTTTCCACTTTTGTGGGCTCAACTCGAATTAGCTACCTCTTTCGTGAGAACAAAAATAATCTTGCATTACCATTTCATCCTTTATCCTGCGGTATTGTTATGGCATAATTTGCATTAAGTACACTGCTGTTATGCAGCTTTTTGTTGATGTAATGGCACCTATGCATTGCTCACCGGTCACAGATTCGATTCACATGGACACCCACTCTGTTCGCGGAATGTCCAATCACTGGATTTTGCTGTTCTTCGATAAGACAGTGTAATATTTGTTAAATTTCAGTTTTTTCAACAATTGCTGTCATCCGACTTCATTAGTGAGTTCTGTGTGATCTCTGAAACCTAAATTCAGTTGCGGTTGTGGGGTTAAAGGATGACGCACCTGTCCGATTAGTCTTTTTACACATCTTAGGGGAAGTGAAGGTATCGAGTTGACACTACCATCCAATGAAATTGTACTTTTCACAGATATGAAAAATCATTCAGAGGCCTATGAGTCATGATTCATGCTGCAAGGCATTGATCTATTTCCATTAATTAAAGTGAGATAAAGCTATCGAATGTAAAATTCAAATATGTCAATATCTCTAGTCGGAATGTCTTTTATGCAGATTTCTGCGTCAGTCGCGCTGATGAGGCATTAAAAATCTGCTCATAATTGTTTATTGATTTGTCTAAGGTCAAAATATTGTTTTAGGGTTTTTATTTCACGGAATGAAAACGCATAGAAATTACAACCCCCACAATTCTGTTTCTAGTATTGTCTTATTTCGCGCTAAAGAGTATATACAAGCTGCAAGAAGGAATATCCAAAGATTGTAGTGACTCCAGCTTGGTTAACGCATCTATGCGTGTTAGTAAGATTGCTTTTATGCGGTTAATTGTAAATCACATCGAAATGCTTGCTTAATATATTGTAGGAAAGCAGTCAATGTTTTACTCGGTACATCCACCTCATCTCGACTGAGCAATCCTCGCCAAATTCTTATTCCAGATCGGACTCCATGCCATGCAGATCATGCAGATGATGGATTACTACGCCACACAACTGCCGCAATAGGTCTACTAAAGGCGCTGCATCTACCGAAACGCCTGCGAACATCGTCAAAGGAGGATAATAGCAATGAGCTCTCAAAGGTCCAAGAAGGGAATGAGGGGAATCCCTACACTGAGGACTCGGTTTCTGGACGTATCGTCAAGGACGCTGTCGTGTTCGACCCAAGACACTACTGGGATCTTGTTGAACGACTGGGTCTGGATATTATGGAGCCTCCAGTTAGTCAGGTAAGCTCTTTATTTTAGCGTATTTTGGGGTTTTGGCTTGTGATGCATAGGTTCTAGAATTTGATTTGTAGTTCTACTGTCCAGCATTATTAACCTCTTTCATGAATCATCTGTTCTAAACGCTTCATTTCAAATGTTACTCCCATCTTTTTCAATTGTTAGTATATCCATCACTGTAGTTAGCTAATATTTGACGAGAAGGGCCATGCATTTTGGTTCTTTTAGGGTAATTGTAGATCGTTTTGTCTCGATTGTTTGTTTTCCCTTTTTTCACAAAATTGGACTCTATTTCTCAGACTACCAATTTAATGGCCACTTTCGATCAAATTTAACGATCAGGTTTGCACCTCGCTAATAGTTAAAGTTTGATGGGCACTGACTTCTTCGTATTCAACGCCTCTACTGCTTAAATTGGGATGAAGCCTCTGGGAAAAGGTGTGTTGACATGGCACTAATTTGACCAACAAGTTCATAGCTTGAGCTGATATCCTTGGGATTTTTCGCGTTTATTGGAACTTGAAGAAATTTTGAAGATGCATGATTTTCTTACCTCATATAGCAACTTCTGTTTGGATGGTTTTTAATAGGGGGGAAATTTTATACTTGTCTTATTAGCATTCATCTGGACACAGCTTCTTAATGTTTTCAGCTAATGCATTTTAATAATTTTTCGCTCGCTTTTATTAAATTCCTTGGTTAGGGAGTTGCTGACTTTACTGCCATCAAAATCCATCAAAACCATCCTAATGAATGTTTCCACTGTTATCTAAAGCATAAAATAGCCGATTTTCTGCTCACTTAATGAGGATGTCTTTATTACTAAACAGAAGAATTATTTACAGGATCGTCACCTTTAATGGCTATGACTTGTAGTTTTAATTCGATTAGACACCTTTAACTTTAATTAGTTTCTCGTAATGTTTGAATAAAAACGGCCTTATAACATGCCAAAACATGTCTATTTCCTACCTGAACATGATTATAACTTCTTTCATGCAAGGGAGTTGTATTCAGGCCTCAATAATTGTTCCTGCAATGTGTTCTGGGATTTTCGATTCAGTACCTCATCATGTGTCTATCTGAAGCATTACGTGGACAACGTGGCTTAAATATTAATTACCTTCAGATCACGTGATACTTAATAACTAGAGGAGCCGACCTATAAAGTAGACAAGGCAAGGGGGGGAGGGCAATAAACCTTGTGACCTCTTTATTTATGACTAACTAAGACCTCTCCGATGGAAATGTTTCATTTGTATTGAATAGTCTGAGAAACTGTCAAATAGTCAATAATTTTGTGGAAATTTTGTAGGTTGTCGATCAGCATTAAATCAAATGATCTACAAAATGCTTATTCATTTCGCCGAACCGTGGCATTTTTGACCAGAAAGTTTGGCGTTTATTTTTAACCTTTTAAATTGAAAAAAAACAGGTCGGTATTCTATTTTTCGCATTTTTTTGTCAAGAATAACCATCACGTCTTCCGTCACGTTGACAGAATATTTCCAAGAGTCTCCTAGTTACTTGGTTTTCCCGAAATCCGCCCAGGGCGGTTAAGTGGAAATTTCCGTTTCATGAAACTATTTTTTTAACCAAATAACCGCCCACCAGTATTAGAGCCCTCCCGGGGGGGCACTTATTCGAATGGACGGATTTTCGGAAAACCTCGGCAGTATTAAAATATTAGTTTTTGTATCGAACTGTTCACTATGTAGTTTGTCCATCAAGATATAGTGGGTCCAATTTAATTATTCCCATGCTTTTACTCGAGTTTAAATAGGCTGATATTTGTCTCTAATACCCTTTTAATCGGAAGTACTGGAAATCAGTAAATCGTTTGGAGGGTAGTTTGAATGGAAACTTCCACTCCATGCCAGCCTCTACACACAACAATTTGTTTGATAATAGATGCTCTGAGGCTAACTATGCTGACTCATATTACAATCTCTTCAGTTGATCCAATGTACATATACAATTAGCTATTTGATGAAACAGGACGTCCTCTTAATGTCTGATTGTTTTGCTTTTAAGTGTGGCAACTTCTGGGCAGACGATGGTGAATTGAACCTCCTTCGAATGGAGGGCTTCCGATATGCTCGAGTTCCACTTCGAGACAATGATATCTACTTTCTTCCTCGCGGTGTTGTCCATCAATTCAAAACAGTCTCAGCTGGAACTAGTATAGCATGGCACACACGACTCAAGATGTACTATCCGCCTGACTCCTCACCTATTCCGTCAACTTCTTCTCCGCACCAAGTTGCTGAAGCGCCTACCCTCCTTCAAACCTCCCCCTTCATTACTGCCGCCGCGAATGAGGCTGCTATTCACACGGAAAAGGCTTGGCTTCGAACCCTTAAGCGTTCAGCATCTCAGATGAGCAGCCCTACCCCCTCTCTACCCGAGAAAATGAGGAAATAAACATGGGAACGGCATCAGATTGGGGGGGGGGGGGGGGGGGGGGGGGGGGAGGGGAGGGGTGGGGTTGCCAATAGTTGCCTATTAACTTTTACGGTGTGATATCATCATAATTATTGAGATAGACTTTATTTTTCTGTTGTGCGGTCATATAATTTTATATAATTCTTCACGAGAAGGAGCGCAAATATGCCAGAAGTGTGGTTTACTCACTCTTACTTCTGATGCTCCTTCTCTTGCTCTTATTCTCGTTTTTGTTTGTGCTTTTTTGTCTTGTCTTAATACACCAAAGTGCTGGTGTGGTTGTAAATATAATTCACCTTATTTCATACTTCAGATTGAGTGTCTTGTGAACTGAATACTATAATGCCGATATGAAAATTCTAGTAATATTACTGGCAGAAAGTTGAATATAATGGTTAATTAGGAAGCTGCGTAAATAATGAGAGAGGGGGGGGGTGTGGTGGTAATTGGTTGGTCCAATCATTGTCACAAAGTTCGCGGGGGGAAGGGGGGGGGCGGAAATCTAGCAGCCGGCAATCTGATGTGTGGTTAGTGATGGTTACTAGTTGCGCTCGAGTGGTGCTAGAATATTCAACCAGAGTAATTAGGTATAAATTGGTATTCGCACAAGAAATGAATGGACTCAAAAGTAGAGATTCAGATAAGGGATTCGACAAACTTATTTATATCAAATGGCAGGCTTTATGCTAGTGGCTATAAGGCCTTTAGTTGATTTCGGACTTTACGGAGGGGAGGAACAAAGTCTTGAAATGTCGGGGGGGGGGGCGGACAGAAGAGTGATTTAGAGATGTAAAAGGAGTAGAAAAAGGCGAGTACTGTAGAAATGGTCAAAAATTGCATACAGTCGGGTCATGGTTGCTTGAAGTGAGAAGTCAGCTGCCGGTTCATAGGCTTTTTGCCGTATGAGTGCACGTTGCCAAGGGAGCACCACGCATACCCCATTCATCAAATTAAATGCCTTCCTAACAGATAGTCTTGTTAATATCTTGAATTCGAGCTCCTGTTACTTTGGGCAGCAGTGCTTAGCGATGCCTCCGCCTATCTTGATTGACGTCCCAGACGAGGGAGTGTATATGCCTGCTTTGAAGTTCTGGAAACATTCGATTTATTTTAGTAAAATAAAGTTGATTTAATTTGTTAATTTTGGTATTTGCTACATTGCAACTATAAATGTTTGTGATGTAGGCCATCATGATATCTCTACTTACTTAGTCCAGTTGAGGAATGTTCGTGTCTATGGTATAATCTGCGCGCCGAGTTGTAGATCTCGTCTTGCTATTTATCATTTGCGGGAAAGAAGGAAATTCGGCAATTTCGATTTTGGAACGATGAGCATTACGCCAATACATGTTTATACCTGGACTCTTCAAGTTTTTTGGGATTATTGTGAGCCTCCAATTCGGTGGAAGGTTAATTACAAAAAATCGATTGAGTGAAAAAAAATACTTGAAATGTCAATGGGAAATGGGAAAGCTTTACAATTTTTTTTTGCAATCCCGACTATGAATAACCAGTTCAAATTTATTTCCGAGTAGAAGAAAAAATGTAATTACCAGACAGTCGGAGTTATTTTTTTTCAATTTGAGATATTGCCGTTAATTTTACGAACTGAGTCAATATTATTTCAAAATTTCGCCTTCCTCTTCAGAAAGTGCTTCATTATAATCTGTACCCTTAATATACCCCTTAGGAAACCATGGAGATTTAATAAAGACATTCTGGAGGGGAGAGTTGAAGACGATTCCAATAAAGGAAATAAACTGGAACGAAATCGTGAAGTTCTACTTGCTCACTTACTCTGGAAGCGCTGATATACAGCAATTTTTGAGTCATTCTATTGATTTCAAACCCATCTGTGGCTATAATTTGAATTTCAAACAAATTTTTCGAAAAAAAGAGGTGTGATCAAGAGAAGATCGTCTATTAAACGCCTTTTATTTTCCTAAAAAATATCATCAGTCATCGTTACTAAAATCAGGAAGGCTCTAGAATGATTGAATGATTTCTTTGCTGAAAGGTTGGAAAAATCGATAAATAGTTGCAACAAAATTGCTGCTAGTTAGAGCGTTAGAACAGAGTAGTATTCTATAACGGTGAAACGATTAAAATAATTCAGATATTTTATTGGTCGAAGAACTATCATCTACAATTGGTAGATTTGCTGGATTTGGTGGTGCTGCGGTGAAAATAATTTATGAATGATTTTATTTGTTAAATATTTTAAATAAATGTGCGACAGGAGATTTGGCAACCATTGTATTTCTGAAATTATTAGCTACCATGGCTACTAATTCAAATGAGGAATAATGGGAGTCAGTGATGAAATTTTGCTGGATATTCTGTGGGAGAGAGGGTCAATAGTTATAGCAGGATTAGAAAGGAAATCCCTAGATACCAACGTTGCCAAAAAGTTAGTAGAATAAAGAGTGGCTGGAGGGGGATTGAAAGATGCTTTGTACAACTCAGAAGCGGAGTAGTTATGGTTACACAGTTTATAAGGATAGTTTGAAAAGTTGAGGGACTCAAATTGGAAATAACGTTTAGAAAAGTATAAGAAAATTAAACATTAAAAGAACAGCGATTAATAAACGAACTTCACAGAGGTTCGAGAAGATTCCTGAGAGTCGACTAATACCACAAACTATAAAGGACAAAAATTTTATTAAAGAGGTTTTAATACTTTTACCTGCTTCGCAAGAAATGTTCTGAAATAAAGTACATGAGTTCTATAAATCGCGACATAATTGAATAGCTGTGCTCGCGTGATTTTCGTCACAGCATTAGCTTGCATGAATTAATAATGAGTGGCTAGGAAATCTGATCAATATTTATGAATTATAGATTTTACTTGGTGCTGCCTGATAAAGACCCAGAAATGTCTGCAGTCGGATCCAAATACGAGACTCAGTTATTTTCAACTGATAAATAAATCCATAATTAAAATTAGATCCATAATAATTTCTAATGAGTCTGATCAATTGCATTACAGATGTAATGGTAAAAATTACACAAGAACGCACTTGACTAAACCTTAGCATTCCCCTTAGATGTGTAAGTAGCTGACAAGTACACCAAGCCTCCACCAGAGTTCTCAAAATTAGCCAGAGGACGACCAAAGTGGTTATGGAGGGTGAGGGTGAGGGGTAGGAGGATTTACCACAGCTGATTAGCAACTGTGAACAGGTTAATACTCTTCTGCACAAATATTGGTAACTGAGTGAATGGCATGCCTCTGTACTTATCGGAGAAACAGGAAACTTTTTATTTGGTCAAAAAAACATAAGCATTAACAATACAAATTGAACTAATCTTCATGTCATTAATGTGCCATCTGATTACAAGTTCTGAGTGCTAAGTTGCTTTTTTAAAGAAAATTTAGTCGATTATTGCGGCCTAACCAACTATTAACCTTCTTATCAAGACATTTCAGTTTGTTCTTATTGTCCTAATGATTTATTTTCATTTATATCAAATGGCAGGCATTTTGATGGTTATTATTAGCCCTTTAGTTGACTTCAGGCTTCACAGAGAAGAAGGAACATCAAAGTGAAAAAAAGTCGAGACGGGGAGGGGGGGGGGGGGAAGAGAAGAGTATTTCAAAGATGTAAAAGAAACAGACACAAAGGTAGAGTGAAGAAGGTGAGGTTAGTACTGTGGAAGTGGTCGAATATGACATACAGTGGGGTAAAGGTAGTTTGAAGTTGGAAGTCAACTGCCGAATAATAGACTTTTTTGCCGTATGAGTATACGTTGCCCAGGGTGCACCACGTGGAGGTAAGTCTATCACACACCCCTTGTCTAAATGATATAAACAGGCAAAGTTTGAGTCAATGTCACTCACGTTGTTGAAAATTCCATTTTACATTCATTCAGCCTGTCAAACTTGGTGTTTTTATTCAATCAGCGTAATTTTCTTAAATGCGTATAGGTTACTGAAAAAAATGCAGTAGAAAGATAGAAATTCCCTGTTGCAATGTGAAACACATCGGTTAAATTAATTTTACTTATAGTCTCCGTCACCAATCCCATTATTCCGTTTCAAAAATCAATCAAAATTAATTATATTTCGAAGCTGCACATGCACATTCCTATTACCTCAAATAGATGAACAGATACTTCTATAAATAAATAAATAAATGAATAAATAAATAAATATATATACTTGATTCTTTCAGCATTTGCACCTTATCGATCTCTTTAAGCTGCAAAATGCGCGCCCATTTTTCATTGGTTTCAAACTTTAAATGACCTGATTTGCGTAATTGGCTTCGAACTTACTTCACCAGCCAATCAGAACCGAGTGTGCTCATTTATTTAAATCTGATTGGTTAACCCTTATAGTATATAAGGCTCCTTTAATCTCGACACATATTCACTGATTTCAGTGATCCATCGCGTGTTACGTTGCATTTGATTTCCTTTTCATAAACCAAATGCATAATGACTGATGATCAACAACTAAAGCCGAAGAAAAAAGTGAAAATCGTGTCCCTTTACAGACCCGAATCCGGAAGTACAGCTATTAATAACACTCATACTCAAAGTGGACCTGTGAACCCAGTTAATGTTAATGGTAAACGTCAAATCTACATCATCAACGCTGCGAAAGTACCTGGGGTCACTGGAACTCCTGTTATACTACCATCAGGAAACCAGCCTAGCCGATGCATTCAACTTATCCCTCAGTCGTCACCAACACCGAATCAAATGCTAACAAATGAGATTACGAAACAAGAAAGTCTCCAAAGATCATCGTCATACATGGAGCCGACGACTGCTTCCCCAATTAAAGCTTTTCGATCACGCAGAGATGCAATTTTAAATGATGCCCAGAAGCGAATGGCAAATAGGCATAACACGGGGTTCAGGCCAAATCAGTCCGTCAGGTCATCATTTTTTCTTCAAAAGGCAATAAAAGAGGATGAAAGCAAAAGTGAAGATACAAGTACCGTTGTTCGTTCACGGATGCCGGTGAGTTTAATTCCAACTAATTTTTCCATTGCAATTTTATGCAAATTAGACATTTAGTTATTACTTGGCCTATTTTACTCACAGTCTTTCACGACATTACTACCAAGTCTTAGTACATTTCACTCTGCAGTCTGTCAATTTTTCAAAATAAGTTCCGGCACGCATGAACTGTCAAGGCCACAGTTGTGTGAATCTATTCGAATGATTTGGTTTTATGTTTCCTATTATTGCACTATTCATTGACCTTAAATGATCTCAATTAAGTAACTATTATTAACACCCGAAAATGCATCTGAAATCTGCTTTTGGTTACCGAGTTGTTATTAATGAATTGATAAGGTCATTTAAGTAGGTGAATAATGGTTTGCATTGTTGATCAGCTTGAAAGCAATATTTTATGAAACAGTAGGGACTCTTGTAATGATTATCTTTTTTGCCTGATTTAGCCTTTAATACTGCCCACTTTGTTGATAAAATAAGCGTAGTCTTTAAATATCCCCCCCTGTCGGTCCAAAAATCATGGTAGGATAATTGGATTTGTCCACTCTAGAATTGTTACTACTTAACGCTCAAAACTCTCCAAGACGCCTAATTCCAAAGAGACACGATTCGAGTTTATAAAATGTGGAGCTTGAAAATGGATAATCAATTAACTAAAAGCCTGCAGTGGTTGTAGATGAGAAGTTCAAGTGAGAGAAGCGATAAGAGTAACAAGTTGGCTTCGAATACTTTCCAAAATTTTTTTATTGGAGAGAGGAGGGGCGGAGGCGGGTTAATTGCAGAATCAAATCATGCCTAATTTGAGCGTGTAACTACATTTCTTTCAAAAAGCGAATATCATATGATCAAGCAATGTCATTAAATTTGAGTCCAAGTCAAGAAGTAATTGATCTAATAAGTGTCGTTTCATGGATCATAATTGTAAAGGTAAACATCATTGCCATTGTAAACGAAAAAGCGCAAAATTTCACACATCTAAATCATATTGTAGTGTAGTGGTTTGTACTCTAATTTATCACAAACTCAAACTTGTTCCCATCAGGTAAATGTAATGACTTTTGCCCTATATCCGTGGTCACAGTCATTCCAACTCATGACATTCCAGCATGCTATTTTAGAAAGCATGGGGTGAGCGATAGACTTACCTCCACGTGGTGCACCCTGGGCAACGCATACTCATACGGCAAAAATATTTATCAATCAGTAGTTGACTTCCGACTTCAAATTTCCATGGCCCGACTATTTTTCATATTCGACCCCTTCACTGTACTCATCTTACCTTTTTTATCCCTTTGTGTCTGTCTGCCTGTCTATTTTACCTCTGTGAATCATTATTCTGTCTCCCATCTCGACTTTTTGTCACTTTGATGTCCCTTCTCCTCTTCGTGAAGCCCCGAAGTCAGCTCCAGGGCTAATGATAACTATCAAAACGCATGCCATTTGATGTAAATAAATAAACAAATTATAGCAAGCATTCACTAGTGGCCAACTTAAGGACGTTGATAACACCTTGGCGACCATATCTCCTATGTCGGAATTTTTAATTCCCGACCCGTATGTACACTATTTACTCATGCTTTCTGACAAGCGTTATCCAATTTGACACATTTGCTGTGGTATTCAAGTCTCCGTGAAGGAACAACAAAGTTAAAAAATCGAGAGTGGGAGGGGGGAACAGAAGAGTGTTTCACGGATGCAAAAGAGACAGTCAGATACAAAGGCAGAGAAAAGGTAAGATGAGTACTGTGTAAGTGGCCAAATATGACATACAATGGGGTCATGGTAGTTTGAAGTGAGAAGTCAACGGCCGGGTAATAGACTTTTTTGCCGTATGAGTATACGTTGCCCATGGTGCACCACGTGGAGGTAATTCTTTCGCACATACCGCTATATTACTAATAAACTAGTAGATTAAAATTCATATCTTAGGGGACAGCATTCAAGCACCAAATTTAGCATGAAATTGGTAAATTGAATTTCTTGTATAACGAGGTCGGGCTATCTGGACAATTTTTGGTGCTCCGATTTTTCACCTCTCACTCTGTAATGCCCAGATATTCAAAAGGCCCAATGATATTTAACTTATTAGAGCTCACTCGAATTTACCATTATCATAAAGTTTTAGTATCCATTAATCTATTCAAATTGTCCTTATGCAAACTCATAATGAACTTAAGTGCACAGCTGGAGGAAGGCAAATTGTTATTAGGCAACTGATTAGTTACCATCTCTCTGAAAGTTTTGTCATTTAGTCGTTGAAATGATATTCTGGGTTAGAATTGCTCATATAGTTATTTATATCAAATGGCGGGCGTTTTGATGGTTATCATTAGCCCTTTAGTTGACTTCAGGCTTCACAGAGGGGAAGGAACATCAAAGTGAAAAAAGTCGAGAGGAGGGGAACTGAAGAGTGTTTCAAAGACGAAGGTTGAAAATTTAGTGGAAGTGGTCGAATATTTCATACAGGGGGGCCTTGGTAGTTTGAAGTCAACTCTCGGTTAATTGACTTTTTGCCGTATGAGTATACGTTGCTCAGGGTGCACCGCGTGGAGGTAGATCTATCGCACACCCCGAATTGCTCATATAAATCGATGGATTCGATTATACACTTTAAGTATATATTTGTCTCCTTTAAACTTCTCTCTTCATTATGATTCATCATAAATGAGCTCCAGTGATCTTTCTTATACTACAAGACTTCTCATTGCCCTAATCTGTTTAATTAGGTCAAGTGAATGTCCCAAAGACCTACTCAATTTATTACGGTGTTATTGGTTTTTACTATACCTCCTCAAGGAGCATCAGCATAATTTGGACAACAGTAAGGTCCAGTGTGGAAAAATGAAAAAAATTGTAGATCAGAGAGATCTTAAAAAACCAAAGGGGCTCATTTCAATTACTTATTGATTAGATTTGTACGCTAGTA